CAATACATCGTGGAAGGGCTGAATGTTAACTGCCTTTCCTTTGCTGGAAAAAGGTTCGCTGACAATAGATGGGCCTTGGAGTTAAATATCAGAAAGGTCAGAATGTGGAAAGGGACTTTGTGAAATGTGAAATGTTGCAGCCTTGACAATTTAGAGCAGTTATATTCAGTCTGTAATCCTCAGGTGGCCGTTTTCCCTTGTTCTTCTCTCTTTTTCTCTTTCTGTTGTTTTTTTCTTTCCCTCTCTGTCTGTCTGTCTGTCTGTCTGTCTTCATCTCCCTCAATCTGTCTTCCTACATAGAGGTGAAGGCACAGCTTGGGAGGGACACATAAGAGAGAATGATGGAGAATGCAGCTAAAAGGTTAAGGAGGCTGTAATCCTGCTGTAAAGGACAGCCAAAACTCACACTGTGATTCAGCTGCTCCAAAATATTTGACAAAAATAAATAAATAACTAAATAAAAAACTCCCAAAACAAATAAAGGCCAGCAAGCTGTCTTTCTGCCCGACGACGGCTTCATAATAGAAAGGGACAAGTTTCACAGAGGCCGCGGGTTTCTGAGTATAAATGCAACCTAACACAATGGGGAATCAATATGGAAATTAATAAACACACCCGTAAGCAAAATCAATAACGGCACTGGTATCGCTGGATATATTCGTATCACTATACGTCCCTACACACGAGTACGTGTGCACTGCAATTCCAGCCCTGCGAAGGCAGTAAAGATGAAGACCGCAAGCTAACAAGCAAGTGTAAATGTGAACAATGGATCATTTTAAATGTTTAAAAATCATAAATTCCCCTTAATATTTATCTTACACCTCAAGGAGACAAATAGCAACGCATTGTGGTGCTTGCTTACAAGTAAAGTCCGCAAGGCACCATTAATCTCTTTATCCCTCCCAAACACACAGACAGGTGCGCAATTACAAATGCATGATATGTGTGAAAGTATTGCTCAATTTTTTAAGATACCAAATTTGGAAGACTGAGTTCTTTACGTGTAACATTATATGTCACAGTGTGGCCAGGGACATGCGTGTGAATAATTTATCACACTTAAGAAGAAATCCGAGGGGCTGTGGAAGCTCGGTCTATCTTAACAAGAGATAGGAGATGCAACAAATTGTTTTTTCCTCTTTAAATGGGCTTTAAGACTCCACAGGCTGTGTCCACCATTTCTTTTTAATTTGGGATAAACAAAGAACAGAACAGAGATATTGAGCCTTGGATTGACTGGGGAAGCTGGACAGCACAGCAGCAGGAGGCCACTGAATAGGAACTTCCTGCTTAGGTCATGCTTTGCATCTCAAGTCAGCGCGATTGCATCTGCTGGCCGGCAACAGCCTTCCCTCACTGGGGTCATCAAACATCCCAGATAGATAATTGTAAAAGATCATAGGAGCAATTTCCTCTAAAACAAAAACATGGGGCATCTGCTCTGTTTTCGAATCACACAAGCCAATATTTGTTCTTGTTTTCTTGGAAAGTTTTCGCCCTGTCTGCTTGGCGTGCAGATCTTCTCGGCAGCACTCAGGGAGCAGCCCCTCCTTCCTCGAGGCAAGCACAGTCGGCCAACCAACAGGATTACCATGGTGTGTTACTGTTTGCTGCGGCCCTGCTGCAGTCTAACCAGGACTGGGGCTCTTATACAGTTTTCACATCTTTCTAGCATCTGGAGGTCATCTGGTAAGATGGAAAAAAAACTGTACCATGTTTCTTCTGGGGTAGTTAATCTACAGGTTTGGCAACCGATCGGACTGTTCAGTACTGGCGCTGAGCTGAGTAACACATGGCAGCCTGCTGCCTGTGAGGGCTACATAGGAATGATAGTTGAGTGGTCCAAATCAAGCCAAAACGTACAACAGATTTTGCTGCACTTATCTCAAATGGACTCATGATGAGGGATGAATTTAGGAGTCGGAAAGGTTGATCTCAGAGTGTCTCTCAGAATCAGCGTTATACAGAGACGTGAGCATGAAGGACTCTGAGGACGAGTTTTACAGGCAGGCTGCAAGCAATGAAAGCGACACACTGTAAAACCTGGTACGAAATAATGTGAGCATTATACAAACAAGAAGCGCACGGCGCAGCAGGAGCGTATTATAACCAGAACTCCACCTCGTTGAAAGCATGTGAATTTACAGGTCTTTTTTTTTCATGTTTGTCGATCAATTTCTCAATGCAAAGCTCTTTTACAGATAAACATTGACCTCGTCGGGTTTGTCCTCACAAAATTGACCCATCTGCAGCCAATCTAGCACTCTGGGGCTGAATACTGCTTAGCTGTGTCCCCGCACATCATTACCCTCCTCTTCACTCCATTCACTCTGACTCAGAGCAGGAAAATGACTGAGTGATATAACCAAGGCTCCAGTGTCTCCAGCAGCGTCGCTGCTCCATGCTCTCGGTACGTGCTGTAAGGCCACATCAGAGAGAGCGAGTGAGCAGTGGGCTACGGTGCTGATGTTGCACATTAGATCACCTACACATGACCTCAAACGCTACCTGCTCGGACATCTTGGATGTGCGGTGCTGTGGTAGAGGGCAGAGACCATCTCTGTCTTTCTCGCTTGCTCTTCTAGAGCAACACTGTGGTCAGTGCAAACATAAGAGTGTTTATGAACAAAGAGAAACGCTCTGGTGAATTAGCCCTGTCAAAATTAGCTGCAAAACCTGCGCTCTCTCTAACAATCAACCATGCTGGTATTGAAAAAATAAACAGCTAGTGCAATCTGTATTGAGCTTTATGTTATTTTTTTATTTAAGGAGTCTTTCTTTGATCTTTGTTCAGGGCACTGCTAGAGAGGTTTAAAGGCTTTCCCTCTGTTTAATGGAGGAAAATGAGCCGCAGCTTTGATATCAGTGCATCAGATGTTTTACTTGCACAATGCTCTGCAGGACGCTAACGGCGCAGAATCCATATGATAGGCTTTCTCTATTGTTTGCTGGAAATGAATCCCTTATAACTGAATTGTATAACCTCTTATTTAACCATTATTTTTTTTCACTGTGGTTTTACTATGCAAAACACTCTCTGAGTCATCGTATGGGAAGACTTTACCTCATGCACGCAGGAATCTTATTATGATCACATCCGATTAGGGATTTGTACTTTTCTCACTTGATCAGCATCACCACTACAGCAAAGGTGCTTCATGCCTTTTACTCAGCTCCTGTCACAACTGCATACTGTTGCTTGGCAACAATCACACAACCATTTCATCCAGAATCACCATTTTTCTTTCTGAAAATCAGTTACGGTTACAGATTGGAAAATTGGTAGTGGAGACGTTATTGGTACTGAATATGAACAGTGTGTATGACTCTACTGCATTATACCGGTCTGTACTGCAAAAACATAAAACCCTGTGTGTGTATATCTGTGTACACACACAGAGATACACTTGGTTATAGTGTATTTACTTATAATTTTACAGAGAGGATTTAACCAAAAGTAGGAACTAAAAAACAACAATTAAAAATATATATTATCATTCACATGACTCATGAACTGTTTCCTCTTCAAATTCCAATTTTAAAAAAAAAACGTCCTTGTTGGAAGTATTTATTTATTTTATTATGACCGAAACCAAAGTGTGCCTGGTAAGAATGAATTATGCTCCATTTTCTTGGGTGAGTCAGCAAAAGCTATGATTAGTGGAAGCAGTTTAAAAAAAAAGGTGAATCTCATATAAAGTGTTTCCATGGAGACTGAAAATGATGAACTTTGTGTTTATAACAACAGAGGAACTATACAACAGTCAGCTCTCTGCACAATAATATGTCAGAACAACCAACATATAAAACTTATGATAAACCATTTTCTCATTACCAAACACGGGGAAGATAATTGAAAAATTCCAACTGGAAGGGGAATATTAAATAGATATTTCTGTGTATATTCCACAACTGGGACTAATTCAGAAGCAGAACTGCCTGAAGGGCTAGTCTGTCTCGAACAAAATTGGTTTACCAAAGCTGAATGTACGAGGCACAGAGTGAGGCCAAGAGCTGTCTCCTGTCTCCGTGGAAATCAGCAGCAGAGGTCTCCCAGCTGAAACGGAATCTTTACTGTGCAGCGAGATATGCTCAGGATCACAACTTTAAGGCTACCTGGAAGGGCCCCCGGTGCCTTAAGGGAAAGCTGGGAAAATTAACACTCTTTTGTCAAGAGTGGTTGTGCTTTAGGCGCTGCTAATAAAATTGTGATGTGCTTTTCCGTGGCTGCGCGTGAGGCCATTTGCTACACGGATAGATCAAAGCTGTCGTGCCAGTAAAACACCCCACCGCCCCTTATTTGAACAATGGGAATAATCAATTTGAGATAGAGGTGGCGTTACACTTTTTTTGTAGAAAATTAAATCAACCGCTGATGCTGGGGTGCTTTCAGGTGTCGTGCTTGACGAATACTTTCAATAAGCCGCTTAAGTGCTGTCTGAAACGGGACTCAAGTTCCTTGTAGTAGCAAATTAACATTTCAGGGATAGTTTAAAATAATAATAATATTCATTTAAAAAGGCAGTTATGCTTCTGATTTAATCAACAGTTGTATTTACCTTTAAACAAATGCACTTTAGACATGAACAATCCACACAGTGTTGTGAAAAAAAAAAAACACAGGTTATCAGTAGACATCACAATCTATCGCTGAACAAAAATTCTGCCGCTTATTTGAAGACCTGCAGTTTTACTCCTTGACTTTAGCTCGCACATTTAAACAACACAACAACCTAAACACACACACACTTACTCACACAGGCATGCAGCACAGCACAGCCACTCACTCATCTTTCACACTCATGTCAAGGTTGATCTGAGTCACAAGTCCCATGTTCATCCCAATTAGCACTTTGATTTGGGAGTTGATAGGTGGTGATTTGGAAGGATGCACCCATCACTCTCCTCTCTCTTTCACTCTTTCAATTCCTCCCTTTCGTTCCATGTTTTTCTTTTTTCTTTCTTTTTCTTTTCTTTTCTTTTTTTTTTTTACATACCTCCTTTTCTACACATTTTCTTGTTGGGTTTCCTGGCACATTCCTTGGATATTCTTTTGACTGTAAAATGAATGGAAAAACTACAAAATAACAGAGAGCTCTGGAAAAGATCGCATGTGACATGCAACAACTCAGACTGAGTTAGAACCCGTCTTCTCCCTCTTTCCCTCCTCCTCCCACCCTCCCGGTCTTCATCAACAACAAGAACAACAGAGGACCTTTTGAAAAAGTAACTGGGGTGTTGCTGCAGAAATATTCCAAAATGGTGGAATGAATTTGCTGCACCCTGGGACACAAGAAGCCCATATTCACATGCACTTCTATTTAAGACCCATTACGACCACACGGAAGGCAGAGAGGCTAGGTTTTGGAAGATATTGGAGCTCACATCCGAATCTGTTAAGTGATATTTGACGTTGTATGTGCGACGCTCAGAGCACTTAACATTTCAAGCCCATTTTCCTGTGTGGCTCTCCTTCAAGTGATAAAGAATAGGGTCTGTTTAAAAGAGATATATAGAAATCAAACACTTTTAGCAATGTCAGTCTTCACAAATTCCCAATCTGTGTTTGCCTTTTTGCACAAAGTCTCCTTTTGCATTTCTCTTTGTGGAAAGACAAACTGGAAGTAGAAAGGAGAGTAAAGGGTCTTACATAGGTCAGGCTGATGCCACAGGCCTCTCATGTACCAGACAGAATATTTCACCAACCCTACAGAAGATCATTCACTTATGAGGCAGGCTACTAATTGCTAATATCCCCAGAACAATCAAGACGGTGAGGGTAGGAAGGTGCACCGAGTATTTCCAATCTGTTTCATGTCTGATTAGATTTCGTTTTTCTTTATTTATTTTTCTCAATAAGTCATATTTAAGAAGTCATTTAGTCATCAAAAGAGGAACCTCTAACAGTGGCATGGAAGGGGAGAGTTGATGAAAAGACTAAATGAGAGATCTAGTCAAGATGGGATGTCGTATGATGGACACGGACACAGCATGCGCTAAACAACGGTTCATGCTTCGCGCAAAAAACAAAGGTGGCACAAAATCTTAGAGAAGAAGACAGAAGGAAGTGGGAAGCAGAGACAGGAAAGAAGAGGAGGAGAGGTTTGGTTTCTTCCTGTGTACTCGACACACTCACCATCCTCTGTTGGAACATAGATGTTTAGGTAAAGACAATCCTCATGTTGATCTTGTATGTATGTGGTAACTATATCCAGGTTGAAAGTGAACCATATCGGCATCATTATCTCTGGCACGGCATTGTGTATATTTTGAGGGCAGACAGGAGCAAAATGGGTGGCGTTCTTGATTCCTGACCAGGAAGATGGAGGCTCCGGGGGCATGAAGCGTTTTTCTCCCACGGGGGAGGCAGCGTAAGGAACCCCCAGATACTGGTCGACCGGCCCGAGAATCTCGCTAGGCAGGGGGACCCTCACCCCTCTGAGTTTCCCATACTGTGTGTTCACAGTGGGGTGGTAGTTCTGACCACTCACAGCCGCAAAGCACCAACAAAAACTTAACACCCACAAGGACACGCTGAAATTGGTGCAATTATAGGCACCGTGCCAGTTCTGCGAGGGGAAACGATTTCTCCCGGGAGAAAACCACATGGTCCTTGTGAGCGAGTACAAGTGCAAGTGACCAACATACAAGCCAGGGCACCGCCCTCAGCAAATGCACAGGCTTCCCACTCAGCCCAGTAGTGCAGGCACCTGAGGGACAGTCATCAGCTGGGATACTGGAGCCCACCAGCTTACAGATGAGACAGTCAAAAGTTGCGCAGTTCCTGTCTGTGGCGAGGTCCTTATTCACTGTCCTTCCTCTGCTCGTCCGATCTTCTAACCAGTGCTACAAAAAAAGGACAGAAAAATTAATGACAGTTACTTGAAAATCCACCTGTTTGCTCCCATTTTCAATCAGTCATTTTTATCCACTTTTTGAGTCCTTTTTTATTTTTTAGTCATGACATAAAAAAAGCTCACATAAACATGACAGAGCTCTTAGTGCAATCATCAATCCATATAATCAAGAACCTGTCTTTGACTTGGATATTGCAATTAAGTGTTGGGTAACTTGTCAAGATGTACCAAATAATGCTAACAGGACAATTGAAGTGTGAAAGCCATCAGCTGTCATTAGGTAATTATTCTCTACTTTACAGTCTGACGTTTATATTAACGGTTAATATTTAGACAAAAGGCAGTGGTAAAACTAGCAGTGGGAGTCACACACGCATAATAACACGCTAAAAATTTCATGTCATTTTTAATGTTGGCAGCCTTTTCACTGCGTAGCCCTTTGGAGTAGTTATGCACAAGGTATAAATTAAATGTCATTCTCATTGTTTGCTTATTCAAGAGATCACTTTTTGGGATGAACACAAAAGGGGGGAGGGGAGGATGTTCGCTACAGGCAGCAGGTCCCTCCAGTGACAGCGCTGCAAATGCTAATCAACAGTCCCAGGGTGAACCAGTAACAACACCTTCCCACGCTGCTTGATCAATTTTCAATTTCTGTGGCTTAGGGTCCCTCTCAACCTTGTGTGCCTACTGCAGAGTTTGCTCTAATAACAATGGAGAAGAAAAGCCAGCATTTAGAGGAGGATATTGCATTCCAAAATGACTGTGTAAATGATTTATAATGTATCAGCAGCCGTTGGAGGGCACCTAACCGCTGAGAGAAACCAATCCTGACGTTTCTGGAGGTGCTGTTATCGCTAGGCAGCTATTACCATCCGCCGCAGCTGTGGATCAGCAGACAGTCTGCCGGTGAAATCTATATGCTTAGTTGTATATGCAAAACCTCACTTCAGATCAAAAACATAATGCATACGTGCATGCACATATTTAGTAAATACTCAAAATCAGGCCACTTTCAATAACACTTGGATAAATGGAACATGTGTGCTGGACAATTCTGCTCAGAGATTGTGGCACACAGAGTCCCTGTTAAATGATAATACACGAAAAAAACCCATCCATATCCAGTGTGGGGACTAAAAGGTATTCATTGCTGGGGGGGGGGGGATGGTGGAAAAGGCTTCAAAATTTTAAAAAAGCCAATCTGGCAAAGTCGGGTCACTGCTCAGTAGGATCCCTGTACCAGAAGCAGAAAACCTATCTCACTTCATTCATGTATATATATGTATATGTGTGTGTGTGTTTTATATAAAACATTTTGTTTATTATGTAAATTTTACACAAGACATGGACCTGCAATAAACCAATTCCACAGCATTCAAAGGCCGAGCTAATGTGAAACACTTGAACATAATCAGATACTGTTAAAACACAGCACTATAAGAACTAACCTGCAAAAGCATGACAAATAAAAACTACAAATTTCCCCATTAACTAACAGCAAAGCACCAGCAGCTACAGCGATCAAATTTGAACTGCTATTTTGCAGTTATTGTTTTCTATATCAACAGCTTATAACTGTAAAAGAATAGAAAAATCACAGTACAATACAAGTCTAACATTATAGTTTTGATAGCTTGCTTGCAACCATACAGAAAAGTTTATTACTGTAAAATCTAATAACATGTACTTGAACTAAGACAAGAAATCACCTTCGCTACACTCCCTCCGCTCTTTACACCGCACCGTTATGGGAATGCTGCCATATTCAAGACGAGAACTAACCAACTGCTAAGTGTTTTGGTCATTGTGGCTTATTTTCTTGACCAAGAAACCATGCTCTGCATCTCCAGTAATTAAAGCTTAAACACAACTAAACTCAAAATAACAGCACTTAAATAAATTATTTAAGCTTAACGTTTGCTCTTGTGTTCGCCGAAGAAAAAATAGTGCATTATACCGTAAATATGCACAGCAGCTTGCTGATGATATTTTTTCCTGTTTTTAAAAGTGATTTGTTGTCTATTTAACACAACAGCCTTGTGCAAAATCCTACTATATAGATATATATTTTAGAGATACACTAAAATAAATTTGCTGTATGTCTAACAATCACTCCACCTTATTCATATTCAGCCTATTAATACCAATAAAATGTCGACATCCTTTAAAAAAAACAAAAGCACCACAAACTATACTCTTAAATTACCACAAGGTCAAATAAATACCAATGAAACTACTTCTAAAACAGATTTTTCCTAGTATTCTAATCTTCATAACAGCAGGATACATTGCATTAAAGCTAAGTATTTAAGTACTATTAAATTCTAATGACAGAAAGCTAATGACCAGGCCTATATGTCAGGTTGTTTTTCAAAAACAGTTTCTGCTTCAATTGCACATGATTTGTGTTTGATTTCAAGTTATGCCACAAAAAAGCTCCACATATTGATTCCCTGAAAAAACAGAAATGCTTGACAAAGGAGGCTTCATAAAGGCCATCCATTCACACATTTGCAGACACAGATAGTCAATTTTCCATCGCAATTTTAAATGAAGTATTTTCTGTTTGGATTTTCTCACACCGTCTGAGAATAGGAGTGATGGGACTAATTCTAGTCAAGATAAAATACATCAGGTCAAACTTTTTAATCAGGACATAGCAAGGACATAGGACACTGTGATGGAGTGTGTGTGTTTAGAGGACACACAGCACAGAGGACTTCATCAGTCTCTTCTCCAACAGCATCTCAGAGGTCCTCCGCTTTGATCTCTCTACCTGCTGAAGCACTGCCAAGGGAGAAACAGAGAGAGAGAGCGATTGCATGAGTTCTCCCTCATCATCCCAGAAATATTGATCGTCTCATCACTGTGGCCTTGCAGCCCGTAATAAATACAGCTGGAGTGATGGAGGCGGAAGGAGGGGGGGAGGATGGGTAGGTGGGTGCTGTGCTGACTCTAAGTCAGGTTATTAGCCCTTAATGCAAGACGGCACTCCACCAAGTACATGCCATTAAACACCCTCCTCCCCAATTCTCCAGTGACTGATTAATGGGACATGCGAAATTTCTGGCAGTCCAAATCATATTTAGCATTATTCAAAATGGCCACACTGGTGCATCATGTGAGTACAGATCTCATGTATAGAAGAGAAAAAAAAACACATTTTATTTCTCTTTATATTGGTCTGAGTCCAGAGCCGTGCACACTTACTGTAGAAGACCCTTTGTTCTCCTACAGCAGAGAGATTTCTGCATCGCAATAAAAGTCTGAGCCAAATGTACTCCTACGCTCCGACATCCCTTAGAGAGAGGCTGAATGGACTCTGATAAAAAAGGAACCAATAAGAGTTCTGAGTAGATGGGGCATCTGACTCGCCACACTCTGTTATTATAGTAACTAGTCTGCAACAAAAGCATTCACAAAAGCTGCATTAGTCTTCTGGAACATCTAACTTCAAATGAAGTGAGCCATCCCGCCCTCAGAGGGTGTAATCAGTGATTACAAATGCAGCGCTGTTACATGGAAACCGAGGGACAATGTAATGCGATGCAAAAAAATGATTAGGGCAGCCCACTGAAGGTCAGTGTTTTAAAGCATCAATCGAAGATAGCCAATTCAACTCAGATTCTCTGAGTTGCACATTTGATTACCCGTGTGACATAACATGCTCATGGTCAACCAGAGGGAGGAGCAAAAATCTAAGACAGAGTGCTACTATTTTCCATCCATCCATCCATTCATCCATCCATCCATCCTCTGCCACTTATCAAATTCAGGGTTGCACGGGGGCTGGAGCCTATGCCATTTGGAAAACTTTCAAAAACTCAGGCAGAGCTTGTCTATCAACGAACAGCAATGTTGTGTGCTACCTGGATAATTATGTAAATCATTGTAATACCTTGGCATTGTCACGAAAGGATGGGCAAAATAAGTAAATAAATAATGAGCGGACATTTAAATCATTATACTGAATGAGCTAATCCTATTTTATAGACAAAACTCTTGTTCTTTTAAGGAACAGTCAATATAATGGAAAGCAGACCAAAGTATCCAGGTGGTAACTTTAGCTTGAACTTGTTAAAATTGTCTTCACCTTTGATTTGTGCTACCAAAAGATGCTAAGGCCACTTTTTCAGACAAGCTCTTTTTATGACAGGATTACTCTCTGGTCTCTTTGTTTTCAATACTGTGGAAAATACATATCTCTCTAAATGGTCTGCTTACACATGTTTGTTTCAAATATGCAAGGGATCTTTACACACCAAAATCAGTGATGAATGTATGCACTGTGCATGTGTTAGCTCACAGACACACTCTTTACATAAGCTCCTGGGCTCGACAAAAATAGCATGCCATATTAAATCAATGAGATTGGCATGTTTCAGAAACAACATTCACAAAATGTCAAAATCAAACTGCGGCATCATAAGGCTCCTGCTGGGAACCAGTGTAGTGAGCAATAAGGGGCCACTCTTCCCTTCTCTTCCTTTTTTCGTCAGACACAGAGTTGTGCAGTCATTATTACTTAGGAGATTTGGCACTAAATCAAGGACAAAAATGCGACACATACTGACTGCTAATCACCGCGGTGATGCTGACATATTTTTAAAGAAGCAAATGGGAGACGACAATGGTGCGGCTGTGGCCACCTGCTAAGCTGTGCGTCTCCACCCCTTCTCCTAAGTGCTGGATAAAGGTGTCCATGACTATCATTACCAGCCGAGCAGCCAAAGTAACGCAGGAAGATCGGCTTGGCAAGCCAAATAAAGACAGATTCCAGGTGAGCATGTGTTGAGATGAATTCTGCGGCTGCACAGCAAATAAATAATGGCCATTCTGTTAACTGCTGACGGTGCTTGAAACAACTGTTTGCTCTTCGAGACTTAAATGATAGGGACAGATTTGATCTAGAAGTTTTAAAGCTGCGAGTCGAGGCAGAGAGCCCATTCTTACATCTATATTCCCTCTCTCTCTTTCACTTGAATG